TCTCTTTTGCCTAGGATGGTGATTGGATTCCTTGTTGAGGTATCTGTCCGTATGCATCGGCTTCCTATATACTCTGAGTCCCAGTTTACCTGAGGGTAATCTTTCTAAGAGGACGTCGGCGAATGCAATTTTGTTGTCCTTCTCAACTTCCATCATAAACTGTATCCTGGTTTCTATTGAGTTTAGATGATTAAGGAAGTTTTCGAGCTCTGTCTCTCCATGGTTCTAAACAAAAAATGTGTCATCCACATAGCGAAACCAACAAGTAGGTTTCTTTGTGGCCGTTCGCAGTGCCATTTGTTCGAAGTGTTCCATGTAGAAGTTGGCGATAACCGGGCTGAGTGGACTTCCCATTGCCACTCCATCTGTCTGCTCAAAGAGTTCATTCTGCCTTTGAAAGTACGTAGTCGTCAGACATTGGTGAAATATAAGTTGTTGATTTCCTCCGGAAAAACATCTTTCAGATACTCTAAGGCCTGATTCACTGGTAGCTTAGTAAACAATGAGACAATATCAAAACTAAGCAGAATATCGTTTGGTAGTAGAGTGATGCCACTGATCTTTTTGATAAAATGAGTCGAGTTTTTAACATAAGAGCTGGATTCGCCAATCCGTGCTTGAAGGAGGGTGGTGAGGTATTTGGCTATGCTGTATGTGGGCGAATCTATTGCACTTACAATGGGCCTGAAAAAAATAACATATTCGAAATAAGTCTGTTCCCAACAGTTCAAAAACCGTCCCATGAACGGTTTTGAAACTACTCTGTCAATGGATTCTACAGGTCCATAAACCTAGCAGTCCCAAGGTGGAAAAAAACTTCGGGAGCTATATAATAATTAGGTGCTTTTTAGGTGCTAATTAGGGCCTCTAATTAAAAATTAGGTGCTCCTTTAGTTTTTAAAAAAAAAAACTAGACTGCTAGGTTTATAAAAGCTAGCAGTCCCCTATAGTAAAAAATATTTTTTCAATTTTTTTCTTTGTATGAGAATTAGGTGCTTTTTAGGTGCTCCTAAATAGTCCAAGAAAAAATAGAATTGATTAATTATTAACTGAGTTACAGATTTTTTTTAAATATAAGGGGACTGCTGGCCTCATATTTACATGTTGTTGTGTCAGAATGGCAAAAAAAAACTTCGAAATCTATATAATAATTAGGTGCTTTTTAGGTGCTAATTAGGGCCTCTAATTGAAAATTAGGTGCTCTTTTAGTTTTTGAGAAAATCAAAAAAATGTAAAGGACTGCTAGGTTTATGAAAGCTAGAAGTCCCCTATGGTAAAAAATATTTTTTCAATTTTTTTTTATAGCTTTCATAAACCTAGCAGTCCCTTAGCTTTTTTTGATTTCCCCGAAAACCAAAGGAGCACCTAATTCTAGTAAACGTAAAGCCAGCAGTCTCCTAGTAATTAAAAAAAAATCTGTAAATTCTATTTTTTCATCGACTATTTAGGACCACCTAAAAAGCACCTAATTTTGATACAAACGAAAAATTTGAAAAAATATTTTATACTTTAGGGGACTGCTAGTTTCCATTAACCTAGCACCTAATTTTTAATTAGTAGCCCTAATTAGCACCTGAAAAGCACCTAATTAATATTATAATATAGACCCCGAAATTTTTATTCTATTCTGACACATCACCAAGTAAAAGTGAAGCCAACAATTTCCTAATAATGAAAAAAATCTGTAATTCAGTTAATAATTAACTGATTCAAGTTTTTCCTCGACTAAATAGCACCTAATTCTGATACAAAAGAAATTTTTGGGAAAATATTTTTTACTATAGGGGACTTCTAGCTTTCATAATCCTAGCAGTCCCTTAGTTTTTTTTTGATTTTCTCAAAAACTAGAGGAGCACCTAATTTTCAATTAGAGGCCCTAATTAGCACCTAAGAAGCACCTAATTATTATATAGATCCCGAAGTTTTTTTGCCATTCTGACACACCAACAAGTAGACGTAAACTTAGGACGTAAAGCCAGCAGTCCCCTAATAATTAAAAAAAAAACATCTGTAACTCAGTTAATAATTAATCAATTCAATATTTTTCACTATAGGGGACTACTAGCTTTCATAAACCTAGCAATCCCTTAGTTTTTTTTGATTTTCTCAAAAACTAGAGGAGCACCTAATTTTTAATTAGAGGCCCTAATTGGAACCTAAAAAGCACCTGTGTCTCAGTTAATGATTAATCAATTCTATTTTTTTTCGACTATTTAGGAGCTCTTAAATAGCACCTAATTCTGATACAAAAAAAAAAAAATTACTATAGGGGACTGGTAGCATTCATAAACCTAGCAGTCCCTTAGCTTTTTTTTTTGATTTCCTCAAAAACTAGAAGAGCACCTAATTTTTAATTAGAGGCCCTAATTAGCACCTAAAAAGTACCTAATTATTATATAGATCCCTAAGTTTTTTTCCATTCTGACACACCAACATGTAAACTGTAAACGTAAAGCCAGTAGTCCCCTAATAATTAAAAAAAAAATCTGTAACTCAGTTAATAATTAATCAATTCTATTTTTTCTTCGACTATTTAGGAGCACTAAAAATAGCACCTAATTCTGATACAAAAAAAAAATATTTTTTTTTTTACTATAGGGGACTGCTAGCAATCATAAACTTATTAGTCTCTTAGTTTTTCTTGATTTTCTCAAAAACTAAAGGAGCACCTAATTTTCAATTAGAGGCCCTAATTAGCACCTAAGAAGCACCTAATTATTATATAGATCCCGAAGTTTTTTTGCCATTCTGACACACCAACAAGTAGACGTAAAGCCAGCAGTCCCCTAATAATTAAAAAAAAAACATCTGTAACTCAGTTAATAATTAATCAAGTCTATTTTTTTTTTGACTATTTAGGAGCTCTTAAATAGCACCTAATTCTGATACAAAGAATAAATAAAAATTTTTACTATAGGGGACTGCTAGCATTCATAAACCTAGCAGTCCTTTAGTTTTTTTTGATTTTCTCAAAAACTAGAGGAGCACCTAATTTTTAATTAGAGGCCCTAATTAGAACCTAAAAAGCACCTAATTATTATATAGATCCCGAAGTTTTTTTGCCATTCTGCAAAACCAGCATGTAAACGTAAAGCCAGCAGTCCCCTAATAATTTTAAAAAAAATCTGTAACTCAGTTAATAATTAATCAATTCTATTTTTTCTTGGACTATTCAGGACCACCTAAAAAGCACCTAATTCTGATACAAAGGAAAAAATTTTAAAAATATTTTTCACTATAGGGGACTGCTAGCTTTTATAAACCTAGCAGTCCTTTAGTTTGTTTTGATTTTCTCGAAAACTAAAGGAGCACCTAAAAAGTACCTAATTATTATATAGGTCCCGAAGTTTTTTTCCACCTTGGGACTGCTAGGTTTATTGACCTGGATTCTACGCACAAATTTTGGGTTCTACTCGGAATCGTGAGGGTAAATTGTACGGTGTCCTGCTTTATTGGAAAAAAGCTAAAATTAGTTTCATTCCTCAATTTTGAAGGTGCACACAGCATCACTAAATATAATAATAAATGTATAGGTAATAATTATGATTATGACTGAAAATGTTGGAAGGAAATTTTTTACTGAAAATTTAAACTAAAACTTGAAGTTTAGTAGACACAAGAAAATCAAATTATCTTTTAATCAAATTATTTTGCATAATTGGTAGCTATTAAATCCATGAATTTCTTAATAATAATTATTAGAAAACAAATTGATGTTAGAAACACATTTTTACTTAATACAGTTGCCTAGTTCCCAATGTCTGTACTTTGCATTACTTACTAAATATTTAATGTTTATTTGCACAGTTGTTTGGGTAGTCCCACATGCGAATGGGATCACATTATGAATAACAAACCACTATTGTTATTTGAATGTATAAGCATAAGCTAAGCTACATATTGGGAAATATTTATTAGTTGGGTTAATGAAGATAACATCTATATAGGGTGGCCCATCGAATACTAAGCACTTCGCCGGTTTTTTTATTTTCAGGATAGTTACGACTTCCACTCACTAGACAAAAAAGGCTAGGACCCTGTAAATTCCACTTATGCTGCCATACTCCAACTCCAACTCTTATCCTTTAGCGGGATTTACCATCTCCATAAAAATTTTAAATGAAAAGGATTGTTGTGTCTTTAAAAGTTAAACTGAATAGTCCGACCAAGGGTTTTTAATTAACTTCCAAAAATATTAAAAAATCGATGGTTCACCCTAATACTTTCTAACTAGAAATCTTTCTTTTCCTGAAACTGCAGTTGCATCAGAGGTTATAATCCTCTAGTTAGAATAAATCCTTCAGCAACAAATGAAAACCAGAAAGTATAATAACACAATAGAGCAAAAAATGACTAAATCCAAGGGTTGGTGAGATGAATCTCTATGCAAAAGCAAAATGAAAGAGAAACCACTACAAAAGGAAAGAAGGATAGCGTGAAATAAAATAGACCTTTCAGTTTGAAAATTTGTATAGAGCTGCTGGGCATCTAATTTCTCAGATTTAAAATAAAATAAACCCAGAGGTGAATATTTCTAGGTTGACCAGAAAACTTGTAGGGGATGATCAAAAGTTTCTCATAAATACAAAAATTAATTACTTGCATACTTTTAAGGAAATCAAAGTTATACATCAATACAGAATCGAAAATAACTCAATTTCAACTGTCAGAGAAACAAATAGTCATTAATGAATGAATAAGAAAATCTGCTCTAATTAGGTACTATTGAGCGCCTTTTCTCCTCTTTTGTTATGTCTTTTATTGCCATCTAGTTAGCTCATATCTTCATGTTATATAAGTCCCTTTTACCTTCAATTACGTTCTTTTCTAAATTTATTACCCTTTCGTGATAAGTGCTTGTGTAGAGAGAGAATATCGAGGGGGAAATCATCAGAGCCTGGTACCTGGTCGGATAGGATATAATGAATAATTAAAAGTAATTTATTTACAAAGTTAATTCAAAATATTTTTTGTTGTTTTCCTTAATAAAGATTTTTTAGACCTACACTGGATCTATTCTTGTCGCAGTGAATCCTTACAAGGACATTGACATCTACTCTCAGGTAAGTGTGCCACCCATTTTCTTCATTATACGCTAAAAAAGTTTTCCACTAGAATGCATATTTTCCATTTTCACCTTGTTTGCTGGAAGTCTCGAAAATGCGCTGGAGTTGAAATTTTTAACTGCCTAACAACCATGCATAATATTTCTGGAAAATAAATAAATAATAACGAAAAATTTGTAGCTTTCCCATAGAACAATAACATTGCATTTTCGTTATGTTTAGAGTTTATACAATAATGTTGAAACATTGCTGGGAGAAATTCCATGCTCGATGCCGGGCTCCTAATAAATTATGATTAAAAATCGTGGGAAGAGATTTTTCCTTGTATTGTTTCACTGACTTCCAGACGAATTGTTTTATATTTGTTACGCAGTATGCTCACAAAGGTAGTTATTTAGTAAGAGGAAATTATAGTCCCTTCAGTCAGACAGGTAGATAGCTTTTTAATACCTATGCTCATTAATTCTGCCGTTCTGCGATTTTCATAATATACTTAGTATATCCAGACGAACATGCAACATGTTTTTTCAAAATGCGGTGCTTGTGTAGGTATCTTCCCTAGGGATGGGTGAAAATATAAAACAGTGCCATTTTGTTGACATTAAGTACTTTCATAATGATAATAAATGAGTTTATTCAGTAAATACTACTGTTTCACTTTTTTATTAATCATTCAAATTTTTCGAGGGAAATATTTTCTTTTATAGGTTAGACCCCGGGTTAGACTAAGTATAGGCTCCTATTATTATCTTGGTAAAATTTAAAGCTTTCTGAGGCCTGAGGCTGTCCTTGATCAGTGTTTCGAGAATTGAATATGACTTCGGTATGCAAATACATGCAATGGTATAATTTTTTTATTTAAATTTGCCTATTTTTTGTTTTGAAAGTAGACTAGATTAGATCGTGTTAGGGGCGTTTAGGTGATAGACCCCTCTGCACTGCGACCTGAATAAATCTATTGTGCTTCCCCTTTTTCTAGTAGGTCCCCAGGTTGAGACTTTTCGCAAATCTCACGATTTTTCCGGGATTGGTTGGATTAACATCCGCAGCAGTCAAATGTGTCTGCTCCAGATGAGTGAGTGTGAGTCTTCGCATTTGCAGAGTATATGTTCGGCAGATTCGGATGCTTCTTTGCAAAAGCGGCAAAGGTCTGATCCAGCTTTACTCATCTTTTTCAGGTGGTAGCCAAGAGGGCAGTGGCCGGTGAGGAGACCCGTTATGAGCCTCAAGTCTGGTTTACTGAGTTCGAGTAGTTCCTCTGCCTTTGTTGACTTTGGCGAGATGAATTGCTTCGCCTGTCTAAGTCCTGGAGTATTGTTCCAATGAGAGGCCTGTTGCGTCTCGACCCATTTTTTGAGTTCGGTCCTTACATGGCTTTTTGTCAGGCCAAAGAATGGTTCTGGACCGAGGAATGGTGACGCGGCGCCTTCTCTTGCAAGCCGGTCCGCTATTTCATTTCCTTCTATGTTTTGGTGCCCTGAAACCCATGCTAGAGTGACTCTATTGCAGTTCGCCAGTTGCTTTAGAAGTTGCCAACAGTCCCAGACTAGTCTGGATTTAGTGACAAAGCTGTTAAGAGCCTTAAGTGCTGCCTGGACTGTCACTCGTAGGTCTATTTCAAGACACTTTCTGGCGCAGAGTTCCATTGCGTACGTTTCCGCTTGTAATATGGTGGGGTTGTTTCTTTAGGCAACCAATAGCCTGCAGTTTGAGCCATATACGCCCACTCTGACTCCTTCTTCTGTTTCCGATCCATCTGTGTACCCGATGGATGAACCGTTTGGGAATTTATATACGATCTTGTCACTTTTGCGGTCTCCACTAAAAAGGTGATTAAATTCGTATTTGGGTGGTATGATGTCGACCGGTTTTGGCATTCTTTAATGATGCTCATATGTCCAACAAGGTCCCCTTCCTTTAGGTTTAGAGAGGTTAGATAACCCTTGAGGCCCCCATGTAGGCCTCCCTCCTCACTGCCATGTGGGGGATGATATCTAACATGACCTCTATAGTAGCGGTTGGACAGGTGTTCATGGCACCTGTTATTCCAAGACATGCATACCTTTGTACAACTGCTAATCGGTTTTGCCCTGACTGCTGCTTCACTTTTGGCCACCACACCAATGCAGCATATGTGACCAGGGGTCTTATAATCATCATACATGTTTTACTGAATAGTCTTCGGCATGTTCAGTACGCTACTGTTGGTCGATCGATTATTCTTTTTAAATGTGAGCTCCAGGTGAGCTTTGATCTAGGACAACGCCCAGATATTTGACTTCACTTGAAAAGCCTATTTGTATTCCATCCAGTGTTGGAGCTATTAAGTTTAGCTTCCTTTTTCTTGTGAATGGTATAATTATTGTCTTGCTAGGATTCACCCTTAGACCCTCTTGCAAGCACCTGCTTTTGATGATGTTGAGGGCATTCTGCATGAGTTCACTAATGATCCTATTGTGCTTGCCTCTAATGATAACTGTAAGGTCATCAGCATATCCTAGGACCACAAATCCATGGTCACTTAGTATATGTTTAGAAGTTCATCTATTACGATAGACCATAGAAGTGGGGATAATACACCCCCTTGGGGGTACCCCTTGACTGCTAGGACCGTCGCTGAGTCGATTCCAAGAGTTGCTTTGATTTTCCTATCCTATGTATCATGGTTTCAACCCATGTGATTGTAGTGTCCTCAAAACAACCTTTGTTTTTTGTTGCCTTTCTTATGGACTCATAAGAGGTGTTATCAAATGCACCCTCTATATCAGTGGTTCCCAACCGGTGGTCCGCGAACCTTAGGTGGTTCGCGAGAACCCTTGAATTGGTCCGCTAACTGATACAAGATGAATTCTAAAACATTAGTTTGCCAGCCTCGGCTACGCCTCGCCCGTCAACTTACACCGTCGGCCGAGAATGTGTCACTTTTCCACCTAAATACACAGTATACTATTTTTTCAATCATGCCTAAATAATATTCGTCTTTAAGGCCGCAACGGCCCCCCCATCAAATTATATTTTAGTTCTAAAAAAGATGGCGCCAAGATGAAAGCATTTTAAATATTATAGCGATTTCAATTTGCAGAATCAGTGCAACTTTTTTCACTCAGTTCGCACTGATTGGCTAATGGGATTATGGAGGAATTTGTATTTCCATGTCTGGTATGACTTCAAATTTTGTTCTACTCTGTAAAAGTGATGTTTTGTTGTAGAGCTTGTTTTTGTGGTAGGTATGTTTAGTTGTGGTAGGTATGAGATTTTCAGGAAGCAATTGGCACATGAATGGGCTTACAAATAGAGGAATACTCCGAGGAATAATAAAAAAATAGTCTTACCAGGAGTCTTACACAATTTCAGATATTGGTAAAAGATCCAAGAGCCAGTAAAAGAAATGCAAAACGCCAGATACCTAAATTGAATGCTCTACTGCATTGGTGGATATTATTATTGCACTAATATGCAAGAACACAAAGAAAAAACTCTAATTTTAGCACTTTCCACCTTTTGTAAATAAATTTTAATAATAGGGAACTTGCACATTAAATTAAATATGAAGTAAATAATAAAATACAATAACAATCATCCTAATAAATGATGCAATTAGGAAAAGGATATAATATCTTATCTCTGGTTTCCAAAATCTTCAATTGAAAATACCAAATAATTCGAAATTGACGAGATCAAAAACGTATTTCCTGACGTCACAAGGCAGTAATAATCGGGTCGCACCGCTGCCACGCCATGTGCTGCTGGTGTTGTCAATGTCAAATCTATCATAAATGGCATACATAACAACATAACCATAATCTAAATCTACCTGCTCGAAGGTCACTGTCAACCAAGGACTGTGAACGGAATTTTGTTGCTGAGTGACGTCACACTAATCGGTCGTTTCAAATGGCGATGTTTCGAGCGTAACTTCAAATATTTATAAAAAATCAACGGTTGATTTTTAATGCTTGATATTTGGCATGACTCTATGTCTTTAGTGTAGTACAACACATTTTTGAAAAAAAAAAAAATGTGCAAGTTCCCTATTATTATTGAAGCTTTTTATTTTTTCAAAGACATTTTGTCCTACAAAACACGATCCAATTTTTGTACGTAAAATACTCCGGTCAATTTAAACATGCAAGGGTACAAAAATTCCCATAGAGCTGAAAATTGGTACGAATGTTCGGAACACCATTATAAATAAATGCTAAAATGTCCCCATCGATCCCGTACCTGCAATTTTTTTTATTCAAGGTCAATAGTCTCAATAATGGGTTTTTCGCGTTTTTCAGAAAAACGGTAAGTTTTCGCATTTCATAAAATTGGTTCAGACAAAAATTGTAGATCATATTTATCTATAAAAAATGTCTCATTACTTTTTTTCCTTAAAGTCACCAATTATGAGATACAACGATTCTGAAAGTTGAAAAAGTTGTAATCTTCATAATATGCACACGTTTCCACGCCACCTGTAAAGTAGTGTTCTTACGCGCGCTTTTTTTTTTCGTCATATTGTACTGTTATCTTACTTATAACATGAGCAAAATCGAAACTGAAAATGTATATTTATCGCCCGCCGGCCGTTATTTATTCGCCGGCCGGTTAAAATATGAATAACGGCCGTTATTTTCAAACCTACCCGTAAAGGAGAGTCTGCAATATGACGAAAAATTTAGAATGAAACATGGCCGATAACTGCAAATAATAGCCTTGGCTGATTATAATCCTCGGCTATCGCCTTGGTTCACAAACCTCAGCCCGGCCGGTATTTGGTATTTGACTATTTACGGGCCCTATAACGTTAAAAGAGAGATTTTGAGCCACATAAATTTTGAAATACGTTACACGCTAAACGGTAAACTGAGCAAGCGCAGTCTTTGAAAAATAGTGGATGACATTTACCCTTTTTTTAGTTTTTGAAGCCAAAACTTGTGAAGGACGTTATACGCTAAACGTTAATGAAAATTTGTGGTTAGGAATTTGATTTTGTGTAACTAACGTCAAAT